TCAAATTTTGTCTCCCCTTCCTAACAGACCGCTTGCTCTAGATTTACATTACCACAACAATATATTTCTTGTATAAGCGATTATAGGCGTCCAAATTCGCAAGAATGCCGCGAAATGGACGAATCAAATACAGATGAAGTAAATAACATGATGTTCTCCCAAAAAGTCTTTTGGGAGAACATGAAGGCAGGAGTTTGATGACAATTTCTACTACACCCTAATGCGGGTGAAAACCAGTCTCTCGAAAAACAGACTCTTTTGGTCAGAAAGGCGATTAATAGAAAACAAAGGTAATAAAGTACGCCAATTGTATTTTCTGACCGTATGAAAATTTCGAGTTCTGGAAAATAAGATCGGGGAAAAGCCCCGCAAGGCCCGTTTTATGTTATCTGAACGCGACCAGGCGTAGCCCTTGCGAGAGTAGATTGTCATCAAACTATGCCACTAAACACTGTAAAGATAATTGTCCGAAATTTGCCCCATCGGGCTTTGAATTGAATAAATCAAAATATAACATGCCATCGAGAAAAAGCGCTCGAAGTAGCTTTTGACGCCCCTAACAAGCGGAAAAATATATGTCAACGAAAATCCTGTTATACAAGTGAAAATGAATCAAAAAATGACTGAGAAACAGAATTATTGCTATTGCAACCCTGAACTGGTAGCGAATCGAATAAGATAAACAAACGCATAAAAAAGCGGTATCACAGGTTCGACCGTACATTTATAGTGCCAGCCGGCCCAATAATGGCGGCCGGGGCGGTAAGAAGGTAAACAAAAATTGTTCACAAACCAAAATTGTACAAAATTCGCCCCATCGGGCTTCGAATCGAATAAATAAAGACATTTACTTGCAATTGAGAAAAAGTGCTCGAAGTAGCTTTTGAACGCCTCTAAAAAGCGGGACTATTATATGTCAACTAAAATCATGTTATACAAGTAATGATGGATCAACAACAAAACAAAATTGGACTGAGGTACCCTGATGCAACCCTAAACTGGGAGCGAAACAGGTAAAATAAGCAAACACATGAAAGCTGTATCACAGCTGCGACTGTACATTTAATTATCATCAATTTTATCCATTAGCTTAATGTCATGCCAGCCAGCCCAATTTAATGGCGGCCAGGGGCGGGAAGGTGGTAAAAAGTTTGTTCACGAATCTGACCATCTCTCATGAAGACCATAGAAAGAATGAAGCGAGCCGAGAGCACGCGGAGTATGGCGCGAACCTTTCTGGTTTTATTGCTGACGCCAATAAAGTCTTTCACGACCCCCCTCCCTTGACCACGCGGCGTGGGAATAACCTGTTTTAGCTACTTTCGAAAAGTTCGCTAAAATGTATTATTATTATTATTTTTTTTTTTTTTTTATTATTTATTTATTTATTTATTTTTTTTTTTTGGGGGGGGGGGGGGGGGCACAGCCGCTATCACCACAGCCTTGGTTACGTTCCTGCAAACATATCGAAAACGTCAGAAAGACAGTTTGGGAGCCTGTTCAGAAATACTCATTAAAGAGGCACCCTATTCTCATCATGATAGTTAAGCATTAACATTACTTATGTACCATTATTCTAACTTGGTGCCAACAAATTTGACCGTAGCAGTTGAGTTTAGCTCCCATATCCCCCTAAACATAACTAGAAGTCGGGTCAATTTCAGCCTATCTAGCCAATGCATGCAACTTTTTCAGTAGACAGTGATATGACTCGACATTACAAATCATGCATAAAATGAGAACAAATATTACGTACACCTGGGGGGTGTTTCACTAAAGCCCTAAAATCGATCTAAAATCGATTTGATCGATTTTAAGGGCCTAAAATTGATTTCGATTTTAGCAGCAGTTTCATTAAATAAATAAAATCGATTTTGGCCTTAAAATCGATTTTAAGTTAGAGTGTGATCCATATCAATTTTAAATCAATTTTATCCTTATTCATTGCATTATTGATATGCTATGTTCAGCATTCATTGGTTTTAAAGGCGCAAAAATGAATAAATAAACACCAACTTATAACAATAACTCACCAGCATACAAACACACCATTCTTGAATCACATCATTGCTCTTTAACATCATGTAATTATTATCACCATGCACTAGCACAATCTCATTTTTTTTCTCTCTCTCTCTCTCTTTTGGCCGGCATTTTTTAGTTTTTTAATTTAATTTATTTTTATTTATCTATTTATTTATTTTTGTATTTATTTATTTTATATATTTTTATTTTTTATTTTATTTATTTTTTATTTTTTTAATTATTCCCACTCTGAGTCAAATGAAGAAGTCAACAAATTTGTATTTTGTAAGTGTGATTGACCATGGTCTTTATTGAGAGTTGATTACCATAATTAACTCGTTTCAATCAAACTGGTCAGCAAAGGAATTATAGTGAAAACATAACAAACAACAATGAATGCAAATCATTACTTCGAGCATTATAATATGTCGAGAGCGATCTGTAAGGAACCAATAGGGGGCCCGGTCGGGCGACAAAGTAATATCTCTTGACTAGCCGTAACAATTCTTCCATTCGCCTGGCCATGCGAACGGGCTTCCCCCATCTCTTGCTGGCTTTTTGCACAGACAAAAGGCATGGGTGAGCGAAGATGACTTCCAGCCGGACACCCTGAGCGTTACACACGGCATAAGCCAGGCAATCTCAGCTTCAACGGACAGGAACCCGCTCACCCCCCCCTATACCCCAACCAAAAACGTGGTGAGCACAAACGACTTCCCTGGGCAATACTAATTGTATTCCCAGCTTACGGACAAGTCAGGCTCGTAAAATTGTATAAATACGGCAATAAAACAATCCTCTAATAACATCAAATTTTGTCTCCCCTTCCTAACAGACCGCTTGCTCTAGATTTACATTACCACAACAATATATTTCTTGTATAAGCGATTATAGGCGTCCAAATTCGCAAGAATGCCGCGAAATGGACGAATCAAATACAGATGAAGTAAATAACATGATGTTCTCCCAAAAAGTCTTTTGGGAGAACATGAAGGCAGGAGTTTGATGACAATTTCTACTACACCCTAATGCGGGTGAAAACCAGTCTCTCGAAAAACAGACTCTTTTGGTCAGAAAGGCGATTAATAGAAAACAAAGGTAATAAAGTACGCCAATTGTATTTTCTGACCGTATGAAAATTTCGAGTTCTGGAAAATAAGATCGGGGAAAAGCCCCGCAAGGCCCGTTTTATGTTATCTGAACGCGACCAGGCGTAGCCCTTGCGAGAGTAGATTGTCATCAAACTATGCCACTAAACACTGTAAAGATAATTGTCCGAAATTTGCCCCATCGGGCTTTGAATTGAATAAATCAAAATATAACATGCCATCGAGAAAAAGCGCTCGAAGTAGCTTTTGACGCCCCTAACAAGCGGAAAAATATATGTCAACGAAAATCCTGTTATACAAGTGAAAATGAATCAAAAAATGACTGAGGAACAGAATTATTGCTATTGCAACCCTGAACTGGTAGCGAATCGAATAAGATAAACAAACGCATAAAAAAGCGGTATCACAGGTTCGACCGTACATTTATAGTGCCAGCCGGCCCAATAATGGCGGCCGGGGCGGTAAGAAGGTAAACAAAAATTGTTCACAAACCAAAATTGTACAAAATTCGCCCCATCGGGCTTCGAATCGAATAAATAAAGACATTTACTTGCAATTGAGAAAAAGTGCTCGAAGTAGCTTTTGAACGCCTCTAAAAAGCGGGACTATTATATGTCAACTAAAATCATGTTATACAAGTAATGATGGATCAACAACAAAACAAAATTGGACTGAGGTACCCTGATGCAACCCTAAACTGGGAGCGAAACAGGTAAAATAAGCAAACACATGAAAGCTGTATTACAGCTGCGACTGTACATTTAATTATCATCAATTTTATCCATTAGCTTAATGGCATGCCAGCCAGCCCAATTTAATGGCGGCCAGGGGCGGGAAGGTGGTAAAAAGTTTGTTCACGAATCTGACCATCTCTCATGAAGACCATAGAAAGAATGAAGCGAGCCGAGAGCACGCGGAGTATGGCGCGAACCTTTCTAATTTTATTGCTGACGCCAATAAAGTCTTTCACGACCCCCCTCCCTTGACCACGCGGCGTGGGAATAACCTGTTTTAGCTACTTTCGAAAAGTTCGCTAAAATGTATTATTATTATTATTATTTTTTTTTTTTTTATTTTTTTTTTGGGGGGGGGGGGGGCACAGCCGCTATCACCACAGCCTTGGTTACGTTCCTGCAAACATATCGAAAACGTCAGAAAGACAGTTTGGGAGCCTGTTCAGAAAAACTCATTAAAGAGCCACCCTATTCTCATCATGATAGTTAAGCATTAACATTACTTATGTACCATTATTCTAACTTGGTGCCAACAAATTTGACCGTAGCAGTTGAGTTTAGCTCCCATATCCCCCTAAACATAACTAGAAGTCGGGTCAATTTCAGCCTATCTAGCCAATGCATGCAACTTTTTCAGTAGACAGTGATATGACTCGACATTACAAATCATGCATAAAATGAGAACAAATATTACGTACACCTGGGGGGTGTTTCACTAAAGCCCTAAAATCGATCTAAAATCGATTTGATCGATTTTAAGGGCCTAAAATTGATTTCGATTTTAGCAGCAGTTTCATTAAATAAATAAAATCGATTTTGGCCTTAAAATCGATTTTAAGTTAGAGTGTGATCCATATCAATTTTAAATCAATTTTATCCTTATTCATTGCATTATTGATATGCTATGTTCAGCATTCATTGGTTTTAAAGGCGCAAAAATGAATAAATAAACACCAACTTATAACAATAACTCACCAGCATACAAACACACCATTCTTGAATCACATCATTGCTCTTTAACATCATGTAATTATTATCACCATGCACTAGCGTACAATCTCATCTATTCATCCCCCCCCCCTTTTATCTTCTTAAAAGACAAAAAATACATACAAAATAAAATTAACACAGATTTTAAAGTATAATCAATATGTTTATGCTTTAATGAATGAAATCTACATTTTGTAAATGATGAGCATAGCAAACACATTCAAGGGATACAATTACAATATTTTAAATGACACAAATAAAAGTGCTCCTATGAAAGTATCAGCCAGTTGTTAAAACTACTGCAGCTGATATCTGCCACTCTCTATTCGAGTTACCTTTATGGAGATTAAAAGAGTAATACTTGTCACAAATATTTCTGTTACTCATACGGTTGTTAATCTAAGGATCATATACATCGTCATGTAAGGTCACGCAGTCGGTGAGAATGTGGTTTCTTGATGCAATAGTTTGTCTATATGAAATTAATCATCAATTCCTTTCTATCAGCTTTGACAAAAAATTATAAGGACAACATAAGTAAGAGTTAATATATTTCCTGCAGGAAAAATCTGTTTTCACTCAATCACAATGTTCTGTTGTTTATTTTGTATTTGTTGTTGTGCAATTGCTACAATAGCACTTTAAGCACCAACAGGTAATTATCGATACATAGTCATGCAAGAAGTGCCTCTAGGAAGAGTTCCAAATAGGTCATCAAACTGCTGCTCAGATGAATTGCTAATTAAGAAATTCCAATTTGATATTTTAAGATTTATTGCCATGAACAAAATTATCTATGTAATGTGAGTTTGGTAACAATAACCTCCATGACAGAATAATAGCTTTTATTTCTTCTCTTTTCTTCTGCAAGATTCTGAAATTCTGTTTAAAATATAGGAAATCTTGGAAGTATCATTAAAACGTTTACTTCCTTTAAAATATTTTATGTTAACATTTTATCAAACCCAAAACCTCAAACTCGATGGCAAAATTTTAGTACCTTGACCAGAGCATTTTTAATAGCTTATAGGAATTAATTTGTAAATCTTATTTTACAAGTAGTGTTGGTTGTAAAAAGTGACCAGTCCATGATACCAAGATCTGTATCCCATTGTGGTTCCTCTTGCTTAAAGCTGGAAAAGGGAGCTTCTATTTGTAGGCTGGCTGATGTTTCATAAGAAGCATAACGTGGCAGGTAATTCAGGCTCTGCAGTCTAGAATAGGAATTGAAAGTTATGTAATAAATGAATCAATTACTAAATACTAGTACAACTTTTAACCCTTTGCTTACGGGAACCTGGTGGTCCCTGTGTTAAGCCTATGGGACCTTTTTTTTTAATCCAAAGTCAACAGGTTAAATCAATCTTCATTTTTTTGTATTTATGATTATTTCAAATACTTTAATTGCTAAATAAATAAAGTAGGAGAATAAAAAATAGTTACAGAAGATAAATGATTAATTGTTTGCTTTGGATAAAAAAAAAGAATATCCTTTCATTACCATTTGTGTATTTTTTATCTAACAGAATGGGTAAGATGGGTATTAGACTTCTTACAAGGATTATGAAAAATGATAGATCAATTTTGGTAATTGATACTGCTTACCTTTTCAATTTGAAGAGATGGACAATAAATGTTCATTTGTCATGAACTAGCAGTACATGCAGATGCCATAGCTCTTTATTTTGCAACCTAGGATTTAAAACAGAGATACATATATTTGTTATGAAGAGAGCACATCTATTTTTCAGAAAAGTTATTGTCACTGTATCAAATGTGTTCAATAGAACATAAGTACATTTTTATCAGTAAATACAACAGTAATTTACATGTGTTCGGTCCAAGACATTGTTACCAACCAAATTGTAAGTTGTTAGACTTTTGGAAGATTGACTATGGAGTCTAATCTTGATCTCGGATACCCTGCTCTTGAACCAAAGAGGTATAAAACAAACAGAGCAGCTTTCATCATAAATATATTCTCATTACAGTTTGTTCAATCACCTCTTTATTCATTAATTGCTGCCCTATTATTTGTACAATATTAATCAGGCTGGCTGATGAAGTAATTTATCTATGATTTAGACATGTCATAGTTGACTTCCCCCTCACATGGATTTATCAGTTTGCGATTGTACGTAGAAAATTTAATGAAAATCAAGATTTACACACTCAACAACAAATAAATAGGTGTAGAAGAACCACACACCAAAAAAAATACCTTCGTTTTATTATTGGTGTGCAAATCTTACTAGTAAGAAGATCACTCCAAAAGTCCGCTTAGCACAGTAGGATCTATAGCTGTACACCTAGACATTGAGCTTGAGTACATTATGCATATCCAAAGCCTTTCCTTGAGCCTGAGGCCAAGAAAGAATGAGAAGTCCAAGACTGTAGAGACCCGGCAGAAGAGAACTTTTGAGTCTTGGACTAAAGCCAAGGTCTATTTGGTGGATACGACTTGTGGTCCACTCCACCTTTTAGTCCGACTCTGAAATTATTATTTATTTTTTTTAATTCTAGTATAGTCTAGTGTAGAGCTTGGATTTGGACTGTGTTAGGGACTCTAATACCAGGGACGGATCAAGGGGGGGGGGGCACAGGGAGCACGTGCTAGAAAATCTAGACCTAGACTAGACTAGTCTCTAAATTTCTAAGTAAGGCCTAACGTTAGATCTAAATCAACAAAAACAAGACAATGCTAAAATAAATAAGGGATAGGGCCTAGATCTAGGCCTAGATCTTGATTCTAAGCCCAAATCTACAACTAGTAGCATAACTAGTAAAACCACAATACTACTGCAAGAATAAACTAGACTAATAAGTTTGTACCTGTCTGTCCTAACCGAATAATAAACGTTGTTAGGAAATTACTATTGAACCTGCATGAATTTATGTGAATGGGACTGAAATGGTTGAACCGGTGCAATTCGTCCACTTGGAGAGTGATATCAATTGATTTTATTTAAGATTTCGTTCTTCCAAAATAACAGATTTGATATCGACAGAATTGATATTTTCAAAGAAAAACATATTTTACTTACTTTTCAAGGACTCTCACTGTAGTTAAGCAAGGCCATTTTGTGATCGATTTACCCCAAATTGACTAGTCTTGATTGCAGACACCTAAAAATCTATTTTAGCTTAAAATCGATTTGATGAAACAGCTCATATGTATCGGTTTTAAGCTAAAACTGATTCGGCCTTAAAATTGATTTTTAAAATCGAAATCGATTTTAGTTGATGAAACACCCCCCTGGATAGGGACCAGACTAACCCTTAGTAGTAAAATTAGGTATTTCCCCCATTTAATTAAGGGCGTACATTACACAAATATGAACCAGAAACTGATAACATCATTCATCGGGAAGAGAGTAACATTTGTTTTTTTCCGGGAAAAAAACTAAACAGTGGCCTTTAACCAAGCTTAATTACTGCCAAAAAAGAGGACGGTTTAACTTTACATGCTGACCTTAACAGCTCACAGATGTTTGCCATAATTGTGTTGAAATTTACAGACTATTAGAATGTTCGTTAGATGCAGTTTGGTGTACTAAATGTGTTAAATGAAAATCTCGTCATTGATTCTAGGACACCTACCCCTGGAAATCCAACCCAAGACATACACCCAATATACCCCCCCCCCCAGTGAACTACCAACTAGGACAACTACCCCCTAGGGCACATACTCTCTAGGATGAATATCCCCCAGGGCAACTACCCCCTAGGACAATTACCCCAGGACAACTACCCCGGACAGCTACCCCCGGACAACTCCCCCTACGACAACCATCCTCTAGGACAACTACGCCCGGACAACTATTCTAGGGGGTAGTAGCCCGGGGGCAGTTGTCCCAGGGGTAGTTGTCTTAGGGGGTAGTTGTCCCGGTGAGTAGTTGTCCAGGTGGGCAGTCGTTCTAGAGGGTGGTTGCCCTAGGGGGTAGTTGTCCTAGAGGGTAGTTAACTGGGGTGGTTATCCGGGGGTTGATGTGTAGGAGGTAGGTGTCCGGATACGGTCATTATTGATTACATTTAACGAACTGTACTACTTTCTCAACGAGCAAATAGCCCTAACAATAATTACTGAGACGACAACTATGTCCAAAAGAAAATGGTAACAAGTTTAAAAAGCCTACTTACTCAAATACCTCGCGGCTCACGGTTCGTAGTCTCGCCGTATCAGACGTTCTGCTTAAGGTTAGTCTAGCAGCAAAGAAAAAAGCTCGGCACTCCGCCTAGATTATAGGCTATCAAATACCAAGACCGTGCAGTGGATCCGTTTACTTTTGATAACGGGAGTCTTCTTACTAGACTTTTTGCGCCAATCCACCTTATCGGCAAAGGATGATCTACCCTCTGCAAAAATAAATCCGAAAAAATAGAATAAGTATTAATCTTTAAATTCCTTGTAAGAAGAAGAGTAGCAAAATGACATCGATAATGACTGATTCAGGACAAATCATTAATGCACAACTAATCGCCCATGAACTGAATGAATATTTCACCAATAAAGGACTAGCTTTAGCCAATAAGATAATAAGAGATGTCATGATACTGACTCACAAGGTCGCGTAACACAATCCGCGTTGAATTGTCATTTTAAACTTACTAATGTTACAACAAATAGTGTAAGCAATTTATCTAATAATAAAGCCATGGGTAATGCCCTGCTACCGATTAGATTGATTAAACTTGCAATACTTTTCATTAAAGAACTATTGACGAATATAATAAATTTGTCTATAAATTCTGAAATTGTTCCGGATAATTGGAAGTTGCTCGTGTAGTTGCATTGCACAACGGTGGAACAAAAAAAGTATGTAATTATAGGCCAATTTTGTCAAAAATCGGAGAAAGAATTGTGTGTAATCAACCTTACGAATATTTAAACGGAAAATGTATAATTAACAAGTATCAGTCAGGCTTCAGACCACTTAACTCTACGACCACAGCACTATTGAATGTAACAAAATTAATGACTGGCTGAAGTTCAGTATTGGAGGTGGAAAGGTCGCAATTGCTGTAATGTTAGATTTTTAAAAGGCATTCGATAGGGTGGATCATGATCTCGTTCTCCAAAAATTACAACACTATGGGATACAAAAATCGCCCTCTAGGATGGTTTGCCAGTTATCTGAACAAAAACAGATCACAAGCAACATGCGTTAATGGTAAATTGTCTGATTTTTCTTCATTGAAATGAGGTGTCCTTCAATGGTCAATATTCGGCCCACTCATGTTTGTTAGGCCTATGAATATTAATCCCGAAGGATTTCGATATGGTAAAGTAAGCATGTATGCTGATAATACTGTCTTATAAGTTTCTTACAGCGATGTGTTTTGTTTTAATGCAGCAAATTAATGAGGATCTAGAACATGTAAAGCAATGGTTCGTTCATAATAAATTAAGCTTAAACATAAATAAAACTGAATATATTGTGCTGGACTCAAGAAAGCGTTTAAAAAGAATACAGGAAGACACTCTTCAGAGAATTCAAAACCGAGGTGCTCACATAATCAACAACACCTCCTGGTTTTCATCAGTAAGGGAAAAACTTGAACTACTAAATTGGGACCATCTCACCAAGAAAATATAAAAATGACACTGCAGTAATAATGTATACATCTATATAAAAAAAAAAGAACCTCCTTATATTGGTGAAACATTTACACAACGAACGCATATTTATAACACGCGACAGAGTAATCTGTGTGCAGATGTACCTCGCCCGAAGACTGAGTCAGGGAAAACTTAATCATTGAAAATGTATCCAATACCATTAATATAGCTTTGAAGAATGACTGTCAGATTCCCTGAGAATGGATATGATATAATGATGTATTTGTTTGTTTTTGTTTATATGTTGACGTAGTCAACGTATGCATTATTTTCATCCCAAAATCAGATTTCCGAGAAAAAAAAAGGCACACATACTTACACATCATTTACATTATAAGAACAAGAAACAAATGACTGGATAATTTGTTATGGCGGTATTGTGCTCTAATGCAAATAACTATTTAGTAATTTGTCTACATAATTGTATATTCAGAAAAAGCGGAGAAATAACAAGGATATCATATAAATATTTTGAGCTGGAAATATTACGAAATTGAATTTGAATTAAAATTCAATAACAAGCATAGTTAAGAAGTCAATGAAATATAATACAAATCAATAAGAAAGACGATTAGATACGGAAACAATGAAAAATAGTGTGAAATTAAGGAAAATTTGAACTAAATGGTGAAAATTGACCGGGGTGACCTGCACTTTTGGGGATGAGTGCTTAAACAGTGTACAAAAAGCAAAAATTTTAGGAATAACTGTGCAGTCCGATTTGAAATGGGACAGTCATATCTCAGACCTTTTATGCCGTGCTAATAAAAAACTTTTCATGCTTCGTATTCTCAAAACATACAGATTGCCTTTCTGTGATCTAGTAACAATTTACAAGGGATATATTCGCCCAATATTGGATTATGGAGTACCTGTTTTTAACGGAAACCTCACCCAAAGTCATATCTTAAGTTTGGAACGAATCCAGAAAAGAGCATGTAGGACCATACTAGGTGATCAATATATTAATTATGACAAAGCTCTTGAAGTGTGTTCTTTGCAGACCCTGTCAGATAGACGCAAGCAATTATGCACTAATTTTGCTTCATCTCTTGTCAACAACCCACTTTGTAAACATTGGTTACCTGTTAACAATAATGTAGATTATTCACTGCGAAGAAGGACCAAGTATCGT